GGTGAGGACAAACACGTCATTTCATAAACACGCGCTAAACACGAAAATGGAGCGGGAGTTACAAATAGGAACAGAATAAACGTGGGGAATTTCAAATGTCCACGTATTGGATGATAAGCCAATAGACATACATTTTAGCACCATCCAGGAAAATCTCAAGGCCTTCCGCAACTATTCTGCGACAAAGCACGGAATTAATATGTCTAGATCAGATTTGATGGATGATAAGCCAATACTTGGACATTTTAGCACCATCCAGGAAAATCTCAAGGCCTTCCGCAACTATTCTGCGACAAAGCACGGAATTAATATGTCTAGATGAGACAGATTTGATATGTCTACTTGGCCGCCGATACCTCCGTATTATCCTGAGATTTTGGACTTGACACATCTCAAACCCATCTCTCTACGGGATTACCTTTGGCAGTGTATCCTGGATAAATGTGGATTGTAATGTGGAGCACAGTGAGATCATCGCCCGCATTCCGGTAGGCATTAAAGGTTGTCTTTGGTTAGAGTTTAGCCGTTCCAACCCAGATATCAGAAAAGAGTAATGACCATTTTGGCTCAACTCCTTCAGAATGTGGGAACTAGTTGAGGCTGTCCTGGGGACGATGATGCATTTTGTCTTTTCTGAAGTGGAGATCTGTGGTGAGTATCTAGGCTAGTGAGCTCAGTCTTCGAGCAGAAACCTGATGACTCAATTTCGATCTGATATCATGATGCACTTCGCTTTTATTTGGTTTTATTTGCGCGCTCCAAGAACTGGGTCTTCATAACTTGCATTTCGCTGCAATGAAGGATGCTGAGGACTGGATCCGGATAATAAGACAGGAGACTGATTGGCGACTCGCAGTGAGCATCGGCTAGTGGGTGCAGAGAATCTCGTGACTGCCGATTTACTTGTGACGGCGACGAACTCTTTGGACACGGAGGTGGACATCGAGGCCGGTTTACCAGAACACCGATTTTAAGTTAAAACCACTCAGGGCAGGCGCAAAAGCGTAGCTGAACAGTGACGGACTGTTGAGTTTTCTGTGAATCTAAGTATGACAGGCCTGGTAGGAAACCACTGACCTGCTCAGTCAAAGGGCACCTTGAAGAATTAGAGGGAGCACTGCAACCTAATACAAATCACCTGGGAACGCGGGCGATGCGTGTTACCAGAATACTTTCACTGGTAAGAGTGGGACAACAAAGGAATCTTCTGGCCCACTGGAAAAAATGGTATTTTCTGGAAATCGAGGCCCCAGTGGATTAGATAATTCTGCCTTGACTGCAGCTGCCCAAGGAAAATGGAAGAAAGTTAAAAATAGAACTCTCTGGTATTGAGAGGAAAAAAATCATATTGAAAATTGAAAGCGTGGATGGTTTTTGGCTGCGGTACAACCCCTTGACTAAGAGGTACCCATGATTTAATCCTAGAACCCCAGACTAGTTTGAACGCCATTGTGGCACTTCTTCCTCCCAATTTATTCAGTCTTGTGCAACTTTTGAATTTTGTGAAGTGAACATATTGCCATTTCCAAAAGAAGGCGTGGCTGACAGTTGTGTCACGCCATCACCGAAACGCAACCGCTCACCGTCCTGCCTCCGAGGCAGGTGTTGCGCAGAACCGAAGCTAAGAAACAAAAGAGTTATATGCATGTGCAAAGAGTTGCTCATTTTCCAGCTTGGAGAACAATTACATTTGCGACCGTGACAATCAGCGACACGAGGAACAATGGTTTGCAGCGTTAACTCATTTGTAACTTTGGCTCTTCATTCGTTCTTCACCTCTCACTCCTCACTTTCCCTATTTGTGAGCTGCCTAAATTATCATTCCATAATTTCACCTTCTGGCTAATTTTTGTGTTCAAGTTTTTCCGGCGCATCTGATTTTGTGAAGGCCTTCTAAAAGCACATTTCCTTTCCCGGTATCAGATAAGGTGCCCACAAACATGGATCACCATAAAGTCGTGGAGAATTAAGATGCTCAGAGCTATTAGGCGTAAAGAAATAGTCGGAGACCCAGTTTTTGCAGCATCGCGAAAAACAAGTGAGGCAGTCATAGCTAAGTTTACGGCCATTCCCCCGGGTGGTCTGACTGAAAACTTGTAAAACTTGACCTAATGTTCGGAAAAGGGGTTCCCTGTGTAAGCTTACCATATGCTGCAGCTTTACTTCATCAAGACCCTGACGACCATGCAACTGATGACCATTCCAAGTTTTTATGCATGAGTGCGAGGAAAACCAGCGGAAAAAGGGGAAAGGGGCAGAACACTTTTTAATCGATGCTATCAGTGGTTGTGGTGATAGACCTCAACAAAGCTACAGAGCGGGATGCGAATAGTGCTAAAGTCATTGTCTCTACGCTCACAATTTGGTATTGTCGATCACCTTGTGATTAAAAATGGTTCAGAACCCGAGAAGCGCAAATAACTTTGCAACCCGCAAGGGCGGATATAAAAAAATACCCGAAATCTGCTGCCTTTAAGTGCGAACTGTGGCCTCGGACAGCATCACGTGCAATGGGATCACGGAGAATCCGGTTATTCTGATTTTCCGGAATAAGCACGATAATAAGTTCATCACTATGGGTTATCGGCCTTCCATTAAACTGTTGTTTTGGGAGTACTTAACGGGGTGGTAAAAAGAAATCCGTTGAGATGTCATCCAGACACCAATAGTGTCGTGTGCTGTTTAAACTATGGCGCCTTCCTGGGCAAGCTGAGGGAAGATAGAATCGCATGGAACTTATCAGGGTGAATAGACAATTTAATGACCCTCACTGGCTATGTTTCTGTAGTAGAAACAGAAGGGCGGTGGGGTCATCGGAAGACATCGGAACAGTGTTCCTCATTTTGTTATCCTGTGCTTAGACTGAACATTCCGTGTCAAATTTTCATGGTTGACAGTGAACTTATAGAGAACCCGCCGACGAGCTTTCTGCAGTCAGACTTAGAGAAATTTGCGAAATAAGCACTAGTGGAGTACTTTCTGTTAAACGTCCCCAGGTTCTGATTTGCGGTCAAAAGGCCCTGGAAAGTGCGGACAGAATCCGTTCCCCGGACTGCGCATAGAGAACGCAAGAACTAGACGTCGCTTTTTGTGGCATTTTAAGGTTTAATGTTCGCTTGAAAGAGGTGGTGAAAGCGCTTTCAGGGAAGTATAACAATTGATCAGCCCTGTACGGTCCAGAGGACGGGAAGTCTTGATTTTCTGCGGAGGCCCTGTGCACCGACGACTTGTATGTCGTGCAGAATGTTCTACTGGCGAAAAACAGGACAAAGTTTACAATACAGGGCGTAAAACGCAATTCTAGTAAGCTGACTGAAGTAAAGTTGCGCTAGGCTGAAGGACCATGCGCAACCGACCGTTAGTCCCCTGAAATAAGAGGGAGAATTTCTTAGGGTTTCTTACCTGCAGTTGCCGGGAGACGTTTTATCTTCTAGGGTGGTCCTCACTGACGAACAATCATGCAGTACTTTTAGGGGATGTAAATAGATGCCGAAATCTCGTGTAAAAAATAGGCATGTTGAACAGGCCCTTGTAATAGATGTTCATAACCACGCTAAGTCAAAATTCACCTGGGGTTGAATCGGGGTCTCCGCTCTACAATACCTTTTTTATGTTGGGTAAGGGTCTCTCACTGACTCCTATTGTCCATTATTCTTAGGGATAGTGAAGTGCAGAGTAAAGTATATTTGTGGTAACAGTGGTGTCTATTTTATGGGAGCAGGGAGCCTCGGGCAAAGAGAGCTCCTTAGTCATCCGGGGATCCTTGCACTTTACGGTGGGCCACTAATACCTGCTCTCCTCGTGACAAAACCAACCGGTTTCCTGTTGCCTCTTAGAAAAGCCTCCGCACACCCATGTGAAACCCACCTACTCCCCGTTTACTTTTGTCCTAGGGGATGATGAGGCTTTCATTCCAGTGGGAGGGTGGATCACCTATGCATCGTCCTATTCTACAAGTCCCCTGTTCCTCCAATACGGAGGACAGATTGCTCAACTTCCTCTATCGAACTTTTCCAAAAATCGATCAGTCTAAAACCGACGTTCTTCATTCTATCTTTTCCGCCACCTGACAGAATACTCAGACAGTACTGCGCTCCAATACGGAGGACCGATTGCTCAACTTCCTCTATCGAACTTTTCCAAAAATCGATCAGTCTAAAACCGACGTTCTTCATTCTATCTTTTCCGCCACCTGACAGAATACTCAGACAGTACTGCGCTCTCATCTCACTCGTGTAGCCATCAACATTTTGCTACACTCCGGGATTCTCCCCCTCAACAGCTTTTGTGGTTAAATCTGTTCTCGTTGGGGCTTCGCGGGATTTGTGGATCTCACGTGCCCACTACAACCTCTTTTTAGACTATCCCATAACACCAACCTCCGTGGACAATGAACAATCTTCTCCGAAGTTGGTAAACCAGCTGACTAAGAGGGAGCTCTTCTTCTTTAGAGTTATTCCACTCTAATGTTCACTTCCAGAGTAGGTTGACCACGTCCCCTCACTCCCTTCCCAAAGAAATACATCGGCCATATTCCACGCAAACTTGTGCCTCAACCATGTATATGGGTGCCACTGTTTACTTACCCCTCAAAACGGCCTGCTTTTTTATTTACCAGCGAAGCTGTGTAACACTGAACCAGGTAAGGCCTACCGTTGCAAGTAGCTAAGCTTCGTTCTCTCAATTTCCGTCCTCAACTCGACTGTGTGATCACAATCGTTTCCTGCCCTACGTGACGACACGACCTATTTGACCAATCTGAGGCAGTCCTGTGGTGCACCAGCTCTTGAGAGTATAATATGGCCGCCCGTTGGGGAAGATTTCAGACCCTGATCCTGATTCTAGCCCCGTGTAACAGAAAACCGCTAACTCCATGAAGGGCTCTGGGTATGAGGTTGTGAACTAATGATTGTTTAAATGCTTCAAATACCCCTGAACGAATTTCTAGACTGTTGGAGCCAAATACTTAGGCGCCGCCGAGCACGGTTTCAGCAGCGGAGATGGCCGTGTCTGTGGTCGGTTTTGATGTTGGTTGCATGAATTCTTATGTAGCGGTTGCTAAAGGTGGAGGTATTGAAACAATCACCAACGAGTACAGTGATCGGCAGACTCCGTAAGTTTTTCGAGTATAAATGTTGAGGTCCGTAGAACGTGTATTGCTTTTGCTGGTCGTCGCCGTCTTATTGGCACCAGTGCCAAGCTCCAGCACGCAACGAATATTTCAAATACATTTGTAAACTTTCTGCCTCTTTTGGGCAAACGGTTTGCGGATCCATCGGTGGTAAGGGAGCGACACTTTCTTCCCTACCGTTTTACGGAGTCTAGTGATGGTCGTGTGTCTCTCATGGTAAGTTTTTTTGCCTATGGGCTAATTTTCCAGGTGAATTTCAATGAGTCGGATTATGCATTTTCGCCTGAGCAGCTTTTAGCCATGCAGCTGTGTAAGCTGCGGAGCATCACCGAAACTGCGCTATCCAGCAAAGTCGTCGATGTGGTGATCAATGTACCAACCTATTACACGGACACTGAGAGGCGAGCAGTCTTGGATGCGTCTCGGATATGTGGACTCAACTGCGTTAAGCTGGTGAACGACCTCACTGCAGGTAATATTTCGTTTGCGGGTTGTTTTAAACTTACAGTTGGTACTGCCTATGGTCTTTACAAGACCGACCTTCCAGCGGCAGAGCAAGCCCCCAGGATTGTAGCTTTTGTCGGTGTTGGGTATACAAGCACACAGGTTGGCATATGCGCCTTCAACAGCGGTAAAATGAAAGTCCTCGCAACTGCATGTGACCCTCATCTTGGGGGTCGGGATTTCGACCGAATTATTTTCGATAAATTGGCGGAGGAGTTTGAGGCGAAGTACAAGGCTAAGGTATTGTCGTAGTTTCTAGTTGTTCCATATTTCTTTAGGTGTCAGAAAATCCAAAGGCAACGGTTCGTTTGCTCCAGGAATGCGAAAAGGTGAAGAAAGCTATGAGTGCCAACTCTCAGGAACTTCCAGTCAACATTGAGTGCCTAATGAACGACAGGGATTTGGCAGGAAGAATAAAGCGAGCGGACTTCGAGGTTTGTTGTGTTTCACATTAACTCATACAAAACAGGAATGGTCTTCGGAACTTCTGTGCAAATTTTCTGAGTTACTCCAGCGATGTTTATCGTTAACAAATCTCAAGCCCGGTGATTTGCACTCAGTTGAGCTAGTTGGAGGAAGCTCCCGGATACCTGCTCTGAAGTCTATCGTCGCAGATATTTTCAAACAAGAGGGGCGCACGACACTCAATGCAGACGAGGCTGTCGCGCGTGGATGCGCTTTGCAGGTGAGTTTACCGATGATGCGCTTGTTACCAGTGGTAGGGGGGAGGGCGAAACGGCTCAGTGATTAGAAAGCAAATTTGCTGACCAGCAGGACAATGGTTCGAACCCGACCTCTGCATTTTGAATTTCTTTGTCTAGGCTTCGGCGACCTGGCTGTATCCCAGCCCTAGTGCTTTCTTGGGTGGCATGGCAGCTAGGCACCAGAAGGGTGTAACAGCTGAACGATTATCTTTTTTTTCATAATGCACTGATGATGTCACTTCGATTAGTGATGAGACGTTTGCAATCGAATTGACCAGTCAGCGAACAAACCAATGATCATGTCCTGTAGGGTTTCCGACCATGCTCAAGGAACATCAGGTTGGCTCTATTCAGGAAAGCGCAAAGGTTCTGTGCTCAACTCGGCAGCAGCCGCTTTCCTTCCGTGTTGCCACGTCATGGCCTGTCTTCCGCGACTTTCTTTGGTATTTCATGGTCGGTCATATGTAATACATATCCCAGCCACCTCAACCTAGTAAGACTTATCTGTTACTCTGACAAATCCGACTCATTACCTAGTGATCGCTTACGGACCGTATCATTGCGTATGTGCGGCGGCCATTTAAGGCGAGCTATACTACGGCGACAGCTTGAAGACATTTGAAGTCTTCAATATTGAATAGGCCGAGTTCCACAGCCAAACAACACAGCTACCGTCACTTTCATTTTGTGGATGCAACCCTCTAACCTCAGTGGTTTTCGCGAAAGATGAAAATTTGTCAAATATTGGTCGTAAATTGGTGTTGCGTGCGTTGATTTCATGTCGCATTGTAGTCACGACCTATGTAACTGTCAAGGTGACTGAAGCTCGACACTTGAGTTTTGAGATGTATACAAGTGTGGAAAGTCTTGATGCAAGACCTGACAATTCGTAGGTGTCAACTACATGCTCGAATAGGACCACTTCCAAAATTCTATTCGGGCTAGTTTGTGCAACCGCACGGTCGTCAGATAGCAGAACAATGTCATCTGCGTAATAAAAGTCTACCAGTTTTTCATCGGCTGTGATCAGCACTCGGAATCCAGGCCTTTCGGAGAGCATACAACATGATGGCGTCAATGAAAAAGAGTATAAAGGAGGAGACGGGACATCCTTGATGAATCCCACTAGTTGTGGGGAGACTTTTAGGTAGTTCATTATGAGCCCTTAAGCGAACAGAAGTATGGGAATAATGGGCACAAAGGGTGTTCACAGACTTCGAGGGCATTCCACGTTCACTAACTATATTTTGAATAGCCAACCTATTCATAGAATCCAAGACTCGTTTGAAGTCGAAGAAAATCGCCGCAGTTGGTCAGTGGTATTTGTGACGTTGATCTAGCACTTGACGCCAAGGCGCTCCATACCTGGTTGAAATCCCGCCTCGCATCTCGCGTGGAGAGTTTGAACGTTGCAGTACTATCGGATCTTGTGCTGCAGCTGGAGTAATGCCTACATCCCTATGGTTGGAGCAGTTTCTCCTGGCACCTTTTTCAGTAAATACACGATGATTGTTTGGAGCCCAGCCTTGTTCCCAAGTTGGTTTAAGCAGGCTGGTTAAGACAAAACAAAGAGACTTATCGCCGTTATTGAATAGCATTGATCGGATCTAACCTGTCCCAGTGAATCGATGGCACTTCAAAGTATAATGATATCGGTACCTCAGAAACTAATGGGGTTCGAACTCAGACAGTAGCTCGAATTGGGCCTGTGGAGTGAAAGACAGCTGACAGCCGAGTAAACGGTTGTCCGCAATATTCAGCCTGTCGGTCAAGACGCTAATTTCTGCTATACACCAAATCTCCAATACTACCCTTGATGATCTCACTGACAGTCGGTCTTTTCGGTCCCTCTCTGGAAGTTTTTTCTTACATTCCCAGCTACCCAAGCCCTCTCCATTTCCATGGCCCTCATCAGATGCCAGTCGACCGACTTCCTCGAAGTGTTCTTTTCGCACCACCACAAAGGGTGGAAACGAGCTAGGGGAGGTCAAACAATGACCTAACAGCGAAGTATAAAAGCTACTACCAACAAACTCAGCTGCGCTGAGTGCTAGTGACCCTGGTCAAGCTGGCTTCGTGGCTGTCCATCAAGTAGATGTTACGCAATGGCCCCTACTGTATTGTAGATTGACTGCTCCCCGTTTGCTTCCATTGAAAAGGATTCCGCAAAGCAGACGACCTCATGACGTGCTGGTGTGACCATCTGGTATTTCGCGAAGATTGTTTCTTCTGCTGACCATCCGGTGTATTTAGGCGTTAATGATCCGAAAATCTGCACCCACAGTCATGGTCAGTAAAGTACGGTAGGTCGCTCCGTACTAGTATGCGCTGTTCTCGATATAATCCGATGTCACGTCAACAGACCTCACTCCCATTTTGAACGATACGGGTGGGAGCTTGAGAGAAAATAAACCTCTGAGGCCGTAGGGGCCTACATGTTCTCCGCGCAAGGTTCTACGTTATCTGTAGATTTAAGATGAGTGGCAGCTAATGACCACAATAACCGTTGTTGGAAGTATTCGGACCAACGGGCTAGACGTTCCTTATTCAAGACAGTCGCTCCCCTTTGGTCCTTGGTGGTTTCCGCGGCCCAGTCGCGCGGATCAACTGAAATAGTGTTCGGGCCTTCCCGGATTTCTGGGCCTTTTCCGTTTCCATTGGCTCCCTGCGTCATCGTCAGCGAATGCTCACTTTCACTTGACGTCTAGTAATTTGTCAGTCCAAGTTATGCTCGGAACCGGGGGCAGTGGACAGGATACTCCCCTGAAATTTAAGCAATACAATTGGTTGGTCTGATATCCAGCGCACATCAATCCCAAACAAGTCCCGTGTGAGAGCAAGAGAAGCCTGTGTTTCTTCAGCGTGCGGACATTGAAGGTAGCCAAACAGACTAGGCGTCGAGTCTTGGAGACTGATTTTGGGGTGCCTGAAGGTGCGCAGGTGTTGGTTGCAAAACCGATGCGGGACTAACGATGTCACCAGTCCTAACTACTGGGCCTACAATGAGAGAGTTACTAGCGAGGAGGGGAGAGTGAGAGGAAAAAGTATGCGTGAAAGAGGGGAGGCGTTCGACAGCAGCCTGTTTTCGCCTACCCGACCTAATGTATGCAGCAAGTAAGGCTGATGGCACTGCCCGAAGCCGATGTGGCATGAGTTTATTTGTGCGTGTGTCACCCAAGGTTGTACGTGGGTTGGGATACTGTCAGGCCACCCAGACCTAGACAGGAGGATGACTAGGGTCCTTGACCAAAGCCTTTTCCTCGGAAACCTGACCGCAAGGTATCGGTGTTTGGCGGGAAACCCAAGTGCATTTCCATTTCTACAGAACTCGCCACGTATGTTCCAAGCCCCAACCTGGAGGACCAGTCAACTGTTGGTCAGTCCTCTAACTATTGACCAACCTGGTATGAGAGACTGTGAGTGTCGCATTGGGTATAGCTCAGTGGTCATGGTTGTACACAGACCGTCACACCACAGTAAGGTCCAGTCTTTCTGTGACGGGGTCGTGACTTCAGCGAATGCGCGATGTGATTAGATGGCTGTTTGTTTGGGCGGTAGGTACCCTGTGTGTGGAATGCATCGAACAGTGTTTTGGTGGATCGGTCATGCGTGAAAACTATGGCTAATCGTCTGACGGCGGATTGCGTTTCATGCCGAACTCAGAGTAGCATAAACATAGATGTAGGCAAACTTATTTAGCAGAACAGAACTTTCCGCAAAAAGTTTGAATGCTATCGACGCGACCTGTTTCCACACAGTTATTTTGCCTGGATGTAAGACGTGGCTGCCCGGCGTCGCCGTGGTGCTCTTGCGGTCAGCCCCTGTCTTGGTTATCTTATCAAGTGTTGGGAGTCGCAGGCCCATGGTAGTAGGCTAGCACTAACCGACTTTCCTTTTGTTATTATTCTAGTGCTTGGTTTAAATAAATTAAGGCAGTTAGCCACCGGTGATCTCGCACCGATTTGCCAGTCCGTTGAATTAGATGGACTTTCTGTCGTGATAAGTACAAAATGAGGACGACTGCTATCAAACTGAATACTATGGGGTTTGCACTTATCCCATATGACGAGTTCTGGGTAGTTCAGTGGTTAAGGCGCAATCCAACCGGAAGATCAGCGGTTCGAACCCAACCTCGGCACGTCGACTCCTTTTGTCTAAGGTTGAACAGCTTGGCAGTATCTCAGCCCTGTTGCTTCCTTCGGATAGCAAAACAGCTAGGCGCCGAACGATTATTATCACTGAACGATCATTATCTCATTTGACTGGAAACTATACGGACATGATACGAAAATCCGCAGAGGTGAACATGCTGTCACTCACGGACCGATAGCTAAGGTTTGTACGCTGGATCCTTTTTGGATGAGGTTCTCAGGAGACGGTGGGTCAATCCCATCAGACATGAGCGATAATTCGGCGACACATCCAACATCTGACCTACAGTTATGAGTTTTCTTATCTTCAGGACAATATGAAGTGCAGCACACTGATGCATATTTTTGACATACAGGTCAGTTTGCCCCGGGAAGAATGTTGGATTTTGACGCCGGGTGTTCTTATAAGTGATGCCTGTTGTGTTAACGCCCAACCTGGCTAACGAAAGTACTTTACTAGTCCTACGTCAGAACGCTTTCTCGGTCAGTTTGCCCCGGGAAGAATGTTGGATCTTGACGCCGGGTGTTCTTGTAAGTGATGCCTGTTGTGTTAACGTCCAACCTGGCTAACGAAAGTACTTTACTACTACGTCAGAACGCTTTCTTGACAAAACCTTTGGGCTCCTTTGAGTTCTTAAGTTGTTGGGTGGTCGGTCGATGATTTCTATCAACCAGCCAATCTAATCAAGCGACGTCCAGGTCTAACCCCCGAGTTCATGTTTAAAATCAGTACTGGCTCTGGATCGATACCCGTGCGGAAGTTCTTGTGTTGTTCTTTAGCCGACTGTTTTGGGCATCCATATCAACCATGCGAATGACATTGTCCATGCATTTTCCTTACGAATCAGCTCACGATGGCTCAAGTGGTTAGAGGGCGAATTTACTGACCGGAAGGCCCGTGGTTCGAACCCGACCTCCGCCACTCGACTTCCCCTGTCTAGGCTTGGGCAACCTGACAGTATCCCAGCCCTTCGGGTGGCATGGCAGCTAGGCACCGAAAGGGCGCTACAGCTGAACGATTATTATTATTATTATATCAGCTCACACATATGTTTTAAAACTGTTTTGTACTCGAACTAGAGTTCGTCAGTTTATGCACTACAGACAAACCACGTGAGCGTCAGTTGGAATTGTCGTTGCTTAAAATAGTCAGCCGGACAGTATATAAACGACTCGCACACTGTACGAACTAGTAATCACCTCGAGGTCAACGGAAACTAAAATAGTCGTGGGTGGTTTACAGTTTTCTGTTGATGTTACTGCTGATAGCTCAGGGGGGAGTGAGATGGCTCAGTGGTTAGAGTGCGAATTTACTGACCAGAAGGTCCGTGTTTCGAATCCGACCTCTGCATCCCTACTTCTTCTGTCTAAGCTTAGGTAACCTGGCAGTATCCCAGCCCTCGTGCTTCCTTCAGGTGGCATGACAGCTAGGCACTGAAAGGGTGTCACAGCTGGACTATTATTTATTGTTGATCGTAATAAATATGGGTAGCGATTCGAAGACCGGTCTTACCGGTGGTTGACTGAATGGGTCAGAATCTAATGCCTGTTTTATCACTGCCCTTTTTCTAACTCATTGCAATGTCACCAACGCTCGGGCCTGCCTGAATAGATCTTGTATTTTCGCTTCGGGTGTTAGTTTAGCACCAGGATATGACTCGTACAACTACAAAACCTAACCCCATCTCTTCTAGGTGATAATGGTCTGTCGAGCTAATAATTGTGGTTCAGATCACGCGTCTAGACCCTGTCAGTGTTGCTAAAATATTTCCGTATGCTGCACTGTTTCGTAGCCACGTTCGTTTTTGCATGGTAGCGCACTATTTTTCACCGAAACTCAAAATATTTTCTGAATTTCTTCTAGGCCGCCATCTGTTCACCCGCATTTAGAGTCCGCGACTTTACCGTGACCGAAGTTTGCCCGTATACCATTGCTCTGCACTGGGACCGGGAAGACAGTGGTGATCACGGTGCACAAGTGGCCACCGAAAATGAGAATGAAGTAACAGTTGGGAACAAAGAAACTTCCGTCGTCGTGTTCCCTGCACTTCACCCTATCCCATCCTCTCGGCGTCTGTTCTTCAATCGCCGTGGGCCATTCACCGTGGAAGCACGATATGCGAATCCAGAGCAGCTGCCGAATCAAAACTTGGTCCTTGGACAGTTTCGCATTTGTGATGTTCCGCAAAAGAGTAACGAAGTCAGCAAAATCCGCGTGAAGGTGCGCATCAACTCGCATGGGATTTTCGCCATATCGCAGGCTGAGGTTGCAGAGGAGCATGAAAAAGAGGTTGAGGTTGAAGTTCCCGAAGAGAAACAGAACCCCATGCCCACTCCCACAAATGGCAAGTCTATGGACGTTGAGACGCCGGGTAACGGTGATGTGGCGATGGAGACACCAGTTGCCAATGCTACAAATGAGGTACAGGAGCCCAATGCAGTTCCGGAATCTGTCAAAAAGCCAGTTCCTAAGAAAACCACTGTTAAGAAGAAAGTAGTGAAATACAAAGAACTGCCTGTTGAAGCGTCAATTATGCAATACAGTACGAAACAGCTGAACGAGTTCTGCGAGACGGAAGTAGGTTTTCTCAGGTTTTTTACAGTTTTATCCGTTCAATCCTGCTTGGAGCGTGATATTCAACATACAAACACTTAAGTAAATGTTTCACGCTTTCATCTCAACCTTACATGTAACAGGATGAACTGACGGGTCTTCATCCAACAGTGATGTTCGATAACTTCGCCCCCCAGGATAGTACTGAAGGCCATCGATTTTGTGTTGGATGAGCGATCCGCCATAATTGACATTCTAGCCTTATGAAAGCATATGTAATAAGTCCGATAGGTGACTCCATACATCATATCTTCGATCCACAAACTCCGCCAAATAATCATTGGTCTGTAGTTGACAGGGCTTTTCTATCTATCACTTTTTAAATTTACCGGATAAACTCTATTTGCTGTACTAGTGAGTTTTGTAGAAAAAATGTGTCCCAAGCACTGTCTTCTCTCCTAGTCGGTATGCTTGAAAAATTTCAGGAAAGTTAGAATGAAACCTCATCCTGTTATTTCTCGAACTTTAATTATCCTGAGTTGACAATTTTTCTTCTCTTGTCGGGCGTAAATTGCTGTTCAACAACTTCATCACTGGCGATTGGATTGTTTTTATCCGGATAATCATCGATCCTCGAGGAGGACTTGATCGGATTTCTACGGTAAAATTGGATGCCAAAAAGTTCAGCTACACGAGGACCTTCGTCCCTATTATAGATCATCCGATGAGCTTAGAGGACTCAATCTTACAACTTCCCGTTGGCTATTTCGGGCTATATTCTGCAACTGCGGAATATGCATAGGGCTGGGACTCGGGTCCACTACCTTTGGTACTAAGGACCAAAAACTCCGAGCAGCTGAGTGTTCCGAGTTCCGACTGCACCTTTAAAATTGACGTTCGACTTACTCAAGAGTTCGAATTTGGAGCTCGAGATAGCTCAATGGTTAAGGCTCGAGCTTACGGACCGGAAGTCCGTGGTTCGAACCCATTGTGTGCGTATTGACTGCTGCCATCTAGACTCGGGCCCGCGGGTGCCATGGCAGCTGTGCGCCGAAAAGATGTTACAGCTGAGCGATTTCTTTTTTGTTTTACTTGATAGTTTTGTATGAAATATGTCGAATGCACCAACGAGTGGTCTATTCTGTCAGTTGTCAACAGTTGAATTAACCTAACCTATCACCTCGAATAATAAAGGGCGATACAACATGACTGATCTGGGTGATCTCCCATCGGCGCTTGCCCGGTTGCCTATGCATTAAGCTAAATAGATTCATGAAGTCTAGCCAGAAGGTCATAGGCAGACCTACATAATTTCGGAAGGCAATATTGCGGCTAAACCCTATGATTCTCCAAGGAGTAGTGTCATTTTCCTGATCCGTGCGTCTTTCGTCGCATTCTATTCTGGGATTCAAGGACACTTGTCTTCACCCAACGTCGCGCAGTTGTCTCCCCCAGTGTCCCTGAAAAGATGCCCATTATGGTCATTTCAGCCTATCTATATCAGTGATCGGCTTGGGTTAAGTGGTCAGACTTATCAACGTGTCTCCAACCCGAATTAGACCTCGATGGCTGGACTTGTGAATGAATGATGCGTAGTCCATGTTAGCGTTTATTTGATTCGATCCACAGCTTGTTCATTGTCTTCTCATATTGGTACCTTCAGTTGAGTTAAGGCGAAGAGTAATTATCATTGGTAAATATGATGTGCTATGACTCATACGGCCGACCCCGCGTGATAATTCTTACCTGGTTCTTTGCTACTTGCAAGATCATATTTGCCTATTCCTCATAGTCCTCTGATTTGTGTGCGCCGTATTCGTTGAGTTTTTGAAATCGCTTTACACCTTTTCGGTTTTAGGGAAAACTTTCTGAACAAGATGAGCTCGAGCACAGGCGTGCTCATGCCAAGAATGCTGTCGAAGAATATGTGTATGAGATGCGTTCTAAGCTTCAGGAAATACTGAAACCCTTCGCAACTCACAGAGAATGTGAGGATTTGTCAAAGGCTCTGGAGGATACCGAGGACTGGTTGTACGGAGATGGAGAGGACCTGCATAGACAGGCATATGTCGATCGTCTGAATCAGATGAAAACCCTGGGTGATCCGATCGAGATGCGAGAACTAGAGCAGCGGACACGCACTGATGCCGTCCAAAGTTTTCAGCAATCAATTGTGGTGAGTACATTCAAGAAACCTAATTCTGTTTGCCTACCAAACACTCGAACGTAGATTATTTAATGGGACTAGATGGTTTGGCGATAAAACCGCAAAGAACTGTGTCGCGGCTCATCGTTGGACGTGCTACCCAGTCCAGTGCTTTAATTTATCAACGCTTCGGATGGAAAACATATCTATTGTAATGTTTACTTTAGTCTGTGTTTCATCCTTTGACCGTGACCAACCGCATGCCTTTGCTCTCCTTCAATTAGCATATCCGAAAAGTTTTGGACAGTGTTGCATCCGGTGAGGAGAAATACAGTCATCTCACAGCTGAACAGCTGGGTCAGTTACGTTCGGAATTAACCCGGTATGAAAGTTGGCTCCATGAACAACTTCGAATACAGAACGCCCGACCTCTCACAGAGGACCCTAGCCTTAAAACAGCTGACATACTCAAGCAGCAACAAGTAAGTCGCTTTTCCTACCCGACGGTTCGACCCTCCACACGGAATCCTTATGACTCGCAGAACCAAAGACCTATCAGTGAATGGGTAAATAGGCTTGCGCAGTGCCCCTAATGTTTCTGGTGGTTTTCAGGTTTGACAACTTCATCTATGTGTTATAGTAAGAACTGATGTCACTCATTAGTGGGACATCCAAAGCAACAACGCGATTTAGTTCAGACAACACCCGGAATCCAAGTTCCGCTTGGATTCACTGCTTGTGCCCTTCCCTCGTACTCGGTCACTGTTTCGATCAGAATTTGGGAGGCTCAGATAGTATAGTCAATGAGGAGGCTGGTCAAACTCAGTAGACAACCCTACCCTCCATTCTTCAGTAACGATGGTCAACTTGCACCGTAACCTGCCACTTCATGATTAGCGTTCGACTTGTAAGAAACTCGCGAAAGTATGACTTGACCAGAAATTTTAACTACACATGATACAGTACTTACAGTAAGTAGCCTTTGACTTCTGTTCGCAGGCTCCAGACATTAAGATGCTAGCTTTCAAACTCCTTTATGTGTTTGCCTGCAATTTATCGACGCACGTCTGGTACTACACCGCGGTGTTGGGCTATCCAACACTCCTGTAATCTTTTGGGGGAACCGCATTGTCTGTGAATTCAGTCTATATTTTCCAGCTATTGATCGAAGCGCGCGTCTTCTATATTATTAACAGTAGATACCCGTATGTTGTCTGAATAAGTTAAGCTGACTAGTAGTAGTCAGTCGGTGGGATCCGTTTTTCTTTTTCAAACGAGCTAAAAATGTAGTTTTTCCGTGCGTATGAACGATACACACAAGCGGATAAGTAAATTGTGTCATCTTTTTTTTCAGGGTATGGAGTCAGTTTGTCATCCAATAATAAACACGCCTAAACCCGCTCCCACACCCCCTCCGCAACCCACTGAAAATGCGGATGTGAATCACTCGAATGAGAACAACGTGTCAGCTACGGAGAAAGGAAATAAGAAGGATAGCCAAGCCAAAACCCCAGAAAAATCTGACCAAATGGATGTCGACTAACTTCATCGTAATCAAGCAGTCACTCGAGTTACTTCGTTCTCTCTCTCTCTCTGTGTGTGTGTCTCTCCGGTTCTCGTCTCATTTAGTTTCTCAGCTTCCTTCGGCTTCTTGCACCTCTGTCGTTCTCTCAGACGCTCTTCAAAATATTCAATCTTCCATTCCTTCGGCACACATTTAATCCACTTGTTGTTTATATTTCCGTGCTCAGCCCTACGAACTGGCGAGCGTGTATGTATTTTCTACGTTTTGTTCGGTGTTTGTGCAAGTGCTAATCCAGTGGATGAAATGAGAAATGTGATAGTATGCTATCGTGTTTCTGTTCAATGCCAACCACCATCCAACGGTTGAAGTGCCGAAATTGCTTTGACCTTGACTGGCTATGAGAAATTACTCGGGATATACGCGACTGTGATGTGCGTCTGTTGTTGTGTACTGTAGGTAAATCTGTTTCATGGATTACAATCTGCCTTATACCATCGTCATACAATCGCACTTACCGCTTGTCGTTTTATTCTTTCGTGAAGTATTTTCTCTTCGTTATGCACACTGCCACACTTGAACATGCTCCATCGGGACAACTACTGTCTTGTGACAATAAGACTGCTTTGCCGGTTGTTTTACCTGGAAATGCCTCCGTCCGAGTGGATAAAATTGTAGCAAGAATCTTCCGTCCTTTCGAACATCGTTTGCACGGACAACTTTGTGCGTTTGTTTCAAATCTGAAAAAAACTTTATATCAGAAATCCAGTTCATTCACGGTGCTTGTCACTTGTAACGCACCGTGTTCGTAGCGGTGGGATGAAGGTCTCTGAAATACACGAAGATCACAAGTTCGCGTGCTTGCGAGATTATCAGATAAACGGGCGTTGTCACTTGTAACGCACCGTGTTCGTAGCAGTGAGATGAAGGTCTCCTTGAAATACACGAAGATCACAAATTCGCGTGCTTGCGGGATTATCAGATAAACAGGCTCGCAACTGGTTGACTTTCACTTTCGCTAGGCTTAGTTACTACGCTGTGAGTCAGTTAGTTCCCCTGATGTCTTCATGGAGTCATCCCCATTGTCTGTCTCGTTGCTGGCACTGGACGTCTACAACTTGCGGAAATGGAAATTTTGAAAATGAACGTATTTCGCCAATGGCGTACAATTTAGTGTTCAAATTGAACACAAGGTTGGTGAGAATTGAAGGATGAAACCGTTTGGCGTACAATTTAGTGTTCAAATTGAACATAAGGTTGGTGAGAATTGAAGGATGAAACTGTCAGTGGACTGTTAAGTTTTTTAGAGAGTGGGTGCATGTCAAGGAACTTTTTCCCTAGACGAGTCAACATGGAATACAGACTACTAGTTGGCGTTTTCAAAAGAGCGAGGCACAACAACCTCGGCACCAGTCAAGTTGGCAAAAGCTGGAACAATGTTCCTAGGGCGGTGCTTTTGATTTACGATTGCGTGATTCTCACCAGGATGAAGTATCAATCAAATGATCATGTAATCAATCCATATACGTTCAAACACTGCTCTGAGGAAACTGCGGCTTCCTAGCCACTGGTCATCATGGCAGGGGTTTTAAATTATATGAAGTTGAGCAGTCAAATGTTCCTGACGCTAACATACTCGTTGTTGGTCTGCATCGGTTGGTTCATAACATGTATGACTCGTCGTGTATCCATAGGAAACGAGTGGCTTTATCATGCCCGGAAGGCACTCTAGCCCTGCCATGCTCTGTCTTGAGTGACCGAATAGTGTTCCGTAGGTCATCACGACGGTTGGCTCCTGCGACCGAATCAACCATTTTGTTGATGTCAAAGGTTGCAGCGATCGGTGCACATTTCGATTTCATCCCATCTGTAGCAAACAGCGTACCGACGCCAATTTTCCAAACTGGTTACCTGAGCCCGTGTGGAGAACACGATAGAGAACCTTCTCTAGCCCCTTTTTCAGTTCATTTCTATGTCTGGGATTCATGACAGCTTGATACACTCGGAAATTGATTCAAGGATTGGTTTCCGTTTTTGTGCCATGGAATGGTATTCCTTGTCGGCTTTTTACATCACTTCGGAGGTGACCGTCGTGTGAGGGTCTCAACCGTCTTAATTTCTCGGTTTACCAGGGTTAATCGTATTCGAATGTAGCTTTCTCTGGATGAAGAACCCTTTGTTTGTCCCCATGTGACGACTTTTGTATAGTGCATTCCACTTGGGGTTATGAACAGATTCAGTAACGAGTCTCGTTAATGAATCCGCTTCCTGTTGAGAAGTTGTAGGCCTGAAGTTTCCTGGTCCATCTTGGGGTGTTTGATATTTTTTCCCCAGATCCGGAAACAAGTCCAAACGGCCTCTATCGGAAAGGGCAAATCGTCTTCAGCGTTCCTTAAGTTATCTGGAACGTAGCATCCAGATAGTCGAGGCAACTTGTTACCATGGTCACGGACAATGTTGCATGCAGCTGGTGTCGGTCGCTCACAGTGCTATCTGCCTGGTTCCAGAAGAGTCTTGGTTTTGGACACTCCAGAGCTGGATTCCTTCGCCCGGTTAGTTGGGTGTACGGTTGAAGTACTTGGTATTGGGGTTTTCCAGGTTGGACGCCACTCTCAGAACTTACATACGTAACCAAAACGTCAGGATCAAACGACGTGCACGTAAACGATAACTTCTGTTCATTGGATTACTTATGACCGTTAATAAGCAGTGTGACTGGTTTCCTCGTATCCTCAGAAGCCTCAATCCGATTTGCGTCGAAATAGTGCTAGAGCCAGTGAACATTTAAATTAGTTACATCACCCTCGGGGTTAGGCAAACGTGCTTGCCTTTGAGATGACTATTTGGCGGGGAGGGCGTTTATCGCAGATACCCCATCATAAACAGCATTCTGATCGTAGGTTTTTGGACTCATAACTAATCGACGGTTCGACAGGTACTCAACCTCCCTAGGTATGCGCATCCAGCGAGGGGACTGCGTCGGAATGAGAGAGCCGAGTCACGGCATAGGTTTTTCGATTTTATTGTCAGATCAATCGAACACCGGCAGTCTAAAAATCTCAAGAGACATTACATGGCGTACATTGCTGTTAAACAGCGTTGGTTTTGGGATAAGGCACGCTATATGAAACACCACTCTTGAAAGCTATAGGCCCGGATGAAATTGATAGTTCCATATGTTTTTATTTCTGACGATTCAGTAAATCTTTGCCAGTAGGTGCATTTGTCGAGGAAGTTTTTCGGCCTTTGGTGACAACCTGGACAATTTGACGTGGCTTCTGGCTGGTAGGATTCCAAACGGCGCAATGGCTGCTCGTCAATAATCAGTTTGTAACTTGGTCATATAGATTTCTGGCGACATCAGTAGACCAAACATGAAATAAGCGGATAGTGTGTCTGGAGTATACCAGTAAATAGATGCAATGGAACAAACTGCGGCGAGACTAAATTGTCCACGGTGGGTGACAGCCATAGACCAGTTCGGATGAAAACACAGCGCAGTGACCTTTGGAATTTGCTGATCATGATAACTTGTGAAATGGCCGAAAGTGATCCCAATCCAGAGAATTTAATTGTCAAACGCCCTGGATGTGCCTCCAAGTCTTTCCACTATTTTGTCGGTTGGATCAACAAAACTTCCCTCCTGTTATCCCTCGCGCTACTCTATGGCATCGCATTCAAAAATGTGCGCTGGTCAGGCTTGAAAAACGCACAAAGCATTGCAAGCAAACTGTTGTAGGGTGCAGATGAGCGTAAAGGTGTAGGTATCGTGTGGAATTCTTCATGTGGGGACGCGCAATATACATGGCATAGGGGTGTACGGATGCACAATTGATCGGCGATATGTATCAAATCATCCCTTATCCGGTGTTATGTGCTGGGCGGACTCAACGCGGCCAGTTGTCAGTGATGCAACCTTCTTACAAGGCATTTTGTTTCCAAAGCCCGTAACTGTCACTATTTCATTTGGAGGTGGCTGAGACAGTGTTCTCAATACAATGAACCGCCTAGGGAAATCGTTCGCGCAGTTCTTATTTTAACAGCGTTCGCTCATTATGAGAAACATCGTGGAGAGATCATGTTTGCTGCCTGAGTGCTCTAGTAATGGAGTAGAAGTTGCTTCTTTACAGCGTGACACAAAATCACTTTACAGTTGGCGAATATACACTCATTTGCAAACTAATTTGTTTTTTTCGAGAGACTCGCCTGGAACCCAGCTGAATCTCTCGTTTATGATGTTCTCAGGCAACCGAACAATTGGTTGACAGCCATCGGTGGCCTTGACCTCATTTTACTCATTAGGCAAAGTGAAATGGGATTAAGTCAGGACGCAGCAAATGAGATCCGATTTGCGATTGAACCAGCTCATTCTAGTTCAACCTGTAAAATGTCACCGGGTAGGTTTTATTGAAGACTATCCCCAGAACTGTTCCGCCTCACTGATAAGATCAAATCTGATCAAGTCTGAGTTAGGCAGAGCACACAGATCGCTGCTATCGCCTGTGGCACAAACTTGAAGAAATAAACGAGTTAGGATTAAAAGGCACAGAGAAAGCTGGTTTACCCAAAGAAATGCTACTTTCCATAATTATGGGAGGGGGTCTGTCAGTCCACTCGAGGAAAAACGCTAGCAATGCTGGTCCCATACCGTACCATCACACAAACTTATGACACCTTGTCACTGTCAAAACACTCGCCCAAGTGTTTCCTTCGATGTTCCCTTCTTGAATGAACACTACTCGTAAGGTTGCTGAAAACTCTCCGAAGGCCCGTGACCGGTCTCGTTCTTCATGGAGCCTATCAGGTAGGCACAGTCACCATCAACCTTGTGTTTTTTATTAGAACTCATCTCGAAATACACTCGATCAATCGATGGAGCGCTCATCTGGTAGAAGAGCTTGGTGACTAGTTTCTCCCACGGCATCTTTGTGTTCTTGATGCACGTACTCCGATTTCTGATTTTAAGATCTACCAGACTTTCCTCCGCGTTCCAACTTACGCCAATGCTCTTCGGGTATCTGCGCCACATCAACGTCGGGCACAACGCACGTGGCATTTTCTTCGAGTTTTTTCATCAACACCGGGTCCTCTTTTTCTCGCAGAAGAGAACACTATTCGGGCTTGACCCTTCGGGTTACTTCTACTCAGAGGCACCACTGTATACCTCCATTATTTCTTACGAATATTAAAGAATGTGTTTGATTGATTCCGGTTGGCCTCTTGCGGCATGTGAATATCAGTTTTTTGGAAGGTTTCCTACGAGCTTTTAGCAATGCAACCAAACTGTTTTCAGCAATTGAACTTATATCCAATAAAATGCCTCACTTCGTACGTCTCACTTTTCGCTTCTGGTCATTTGACCACATCCGCCTAACCGATCGGCACCACTGCTCTTTCTCAGGGGCAAGTAAAACATCAAAGCTGACGCCCATCTCGTCCTAGGGTCGGTGTTTCGTGATTCTGTTACCAAATACGACCTTGTTGAGGAAGTATGAGGACCAAAATCAGCAGGACGGAGGGCTCAGATTGAAGATCACCAAGCGGGACTTGGCTGCTCCTGTGAAGTGGGAGCACTGTTCTTAGTGCACTTACCTAGTACTCATATAGGGGCGTAAAATGTCCGCAGTGAGGTGGGCATCAGAGTGGCTAATCTATCAATACAGTTAGTGATGCTTTTCGGAAACCCCGTTGTCAAACTTCTTCAGGCGGCTATACATTGTGCACCACTGCACATTTAATCTGCTGCACATAGAGGGATTTATTGACACGAGGATGGAAG